ATATCGAGCGTTGTATTAGCCAGGGAAGTAGGTGTTTTCCAACAGACACTCACCAGAGCATACTGTGTAGGTAGTTGGGACACACGCATATTTCAAAAATTTTCTAATACATCGATAGTTTCTCCGGATTGTTTTCACGTTTGACATCTTATAGTTGTTAGTGATGACAGTTTCTTGTAGAACATATCGTCTCCTGAAATCGCGTTGTCTCAATACTCATATTGAATACCCTCTTCATTATCTAACAAACAAGACTACATACTTTCAATTTAATATTACATGTTTACTGTTTTTTGAATTGCTCCAGAACCTTTTGAAACATTGCATAACTGAATGCACACGAAAAAATCGGCCGAAATCATGATAGGCTTTTTGATGTTATAAATTATTTCAGTCACTCTGACTAGGTTGAGTTATATATATGTAAGTTTCTGTCACATCAAAACTTATCTTTTCGATATCCAGTACTATATCTTTTTCCCTCATTAATGTGTCTTTATGTATACTTTTTTCAACTGTCGTAAATCATATCTCTCGCATCAAGTGTTTTTATCATTGAGATAATTAAACCTAATAGAAAAGTAATCTAGGCATGAAAAACATTACCGCTAAAATTCGTCCACAAACTATTTTTGTTTCTCGAATCCGACTAAAGTCTACAAGCAAGAGACATTGAGTCGAGGTCTCTCTGTATCTGAAGCCAAACTATCTTCTCCTTAATCTTGTATTAATAGGTATAGGTAGGACTAGCATACGTTTATTCAAGATTTCTGAAAGTTGCTCGAAGACAGCAGCTGAAGACGTTTCGATTGTTAGTATCCACAATCGTCTTCGGGTGATAACTGTGTGATAACAGTTATCACTTTTGTAGAGTTGCTGTCTGTTATATAAGGTATAAGTACTTGTTCAGAAAGATTGCAACAGTACAGAATATGTTGAACAATAATGACAGATGTGAATTAAAACATATAATAAAAGTTCAAATATTCGTATAAAGCGGGTGAAGATCATGAATTGCAAAATTATTTCCATATATACTTGTAAATATTTAAATGCTTACCTGTGAGAACATGTGCTTTTTCTTTCTGTATCTCTACTTCATTTTTTTTTCGTTCCAATATTTCATGTATCTTACCTATTGCTATATTAGTTAGCCATAATTTCAGTCCTTTTTTAAATCTGTTATTACTTGTAATAGATTTTATTTCAAACGGAACTTCTGCATAGGCAATTGGCACAAGTATATGAGAAATCTTTGACTTCGAGATGTGCTTACCTTAGGAATCCTTGAGGTTTTTTGTTTAAATCTGATATTGTGCGAATGATAACACCGGCAATGATTTTGTTTCATATCTTCTATGACACATTGCAAGACTTAGAAAGTATAGATGTCTACATAGTTATTTTACAAATATTAAATCACCTTCAGATGAAAAATGCCATTCTGAATATTACCGAAAACCCGAAATGAAGTGAAGCTTTTAGGAGCACCAGAATCTAAAAAATCTATTCTCTTTGATTCATACTCTTTCATTTTACTTCAACACTTTTAGCTAATTTTAAAGTTTCACTCAGAAATGAGGCTTACTGGGTCAATATATGAAATGATATTTGATAATTTTTGTTTCTCTAAAATTGAAACGAATATTACATTTTTTCAATATAATTCTTCCTTCTTTCAAGTCGAAATCAAAGTACTGTGACAAATTGTACGCCCCTGGCCTCAATTCCTGCAGTCCTCATCTCCATGTGTTTATTATTTGTAGGACTGGGAGACGCGGTATATACCCCAAAGGCCTATTAATTTTTTGGTAGCGGGCGAGTGATGAAAAACACGAAACTCCACGTCTGTTTTTACTCAAGAGCATGTTTGAGGCCGTCTACTCGAGTAATGAGACACTTGAAAAAATTAAATGTACTTGCAACACTACTGTTTTTTGTTGTGTTAATGGCTTTTCATTCATTAGCCTTTTGAAGTTGGTTCGTTTCGTGCAGGGAACTTTTTGTTGTTATGCATGCTCTTTAGAATATTCAACAAGAACGTGATGACTGATGGGACCGATCACCATCACCCCTTGTCAATGTTTTTTCAGTTGCTAAACAAACATTTTTGTCGGAGATACTTGGAAAGTCATTATTAGTGTCTATATTTTTCCGAACCTTTTTTTTAATTCTTACTATGAATAACTACACTTAAGAGTGGTATCGATACATTTCGCAAACCTCGCTTGTTAAAAATGTGTGAGTAATGTTACAAATGTACAGGCACAATATTTGTAATTTTGAGATAACTCGAAAATATACAAAATTATTGATTCTGTACTTCTTGCAATTTGTAATATACAGTGCGGATATAAATAGTCGCCTCCTGTTTTATTTCGAACGGCAACGGGGTATATCAGTCAAGGCAGTGAAAATAAGAATTGTGTTTGATTTTCGACGCTGTCGTGAAAAGGAAAAACTGCAATCAATTTACCAAAATGAGTTGAATGATCGTATACGAGATAGCAGAAGGGCCTGGCTCTCGGCAGCTCAGCTCCGGAAGCAAGAATGATTAAAAAAAAAATAAGATTAGACTCCTGGGACTCCTGTGAATAGAACTTAAAAGGCACATTTATTCACTACAGTAGTATAAAATCATCATCATTACTTATTTATAAAGCTGATAACAGTAATGAGACCCATCAAACATTGTCTATATTTATAAAATTGATGAAATAAGAGAACAACGGGACAGTCATTGGGTTGTTGATTGATACTGAATCTTTAATTTCCTGTCTTTATGAGACAGTAAACTAAACAATGGCATTATTGTTGTGACAATAAAATGAATGGGGCATATCGGAGCATGATTGTTGATATTTTGTATGAATAGTTTTGTTTTTACCAAGACTTGAATATTTTTGAAAAACTCTGTGGTGTGAATACCAAG